CCCCAAAACCCCAAAACCCCAAAACCCCAAAACCCCTTTTAGGGATAAAAAGGTCGAAATTTCTAAGTGTGTATAATAATTTAAATATATGAAGGTCCTACTTCTTTCCCTGCTCATTGTGACATCATTTGTTACTGTTAGCGCCCTTACTCATGGAGACTTTAAGGCAAAGTATAGAATTTATACTGATGGACACGCCGCTCCTTCTGAGGAAGACTTGCTCGAAATGTATAAGGAATATGTTGAGACATTTAAGTCTGAGATGCCCGGAATGAACAGTAATGCTGGAAGATTCGAGATCTTTAAGGAGACCGTCAACAATATTATGACTCACAACCAGAACCCAGCCAATACTTGGAAAAAAGGAATCAACAAGTTCTCTGACTGGAGCGAGGAAGAGTTCTTTGAGTTCTATGGACTTAATGCTCCACAGAACTGCTCTGCTACTGCTTCTCCAAAGAAGGTGTACAATGCTGCCTATCCAAAGTCCTTTGATTGGAACACTGAACACAATAAGGTAACACCTGTCAAGAATCAGGGAAGTTGCGGAAGTTGCTGGACATTCTCCACTGTTGGAGCAATGGAGGCTCATGCTCTTATTGCCACTAACTCTACTCCTGATGAGACTTACAACTTTACTGAGCAACAGCTAGTTGATTGCGCCCAAGCTTACGATAATCATGGATGCAGTGGAGGACTTCCATCTCATGCCTTTGAATATATCAGTCAAAATGGAGGACTTGAGCACAGAGAGACTTACCCATACTATGCTAAAGATATGGATTGTATCCACAGCTCCGATAACTCAGTTGTTACTACTAGTGGATCTTTTAACATCACTCTTGGAGATGAGGAACAACTTATCGAATCCCTTTATCACGAAGGACCAATTTCGGTTTCATACCAAGTTATCGCAGGATTCAAGGACTACGAGAGTGGAGTCTATCAGAACAACACTTGTGGACAAACCACTATGGATGTCAACCATGCTGTCTTAGCTGTAGGAAAAGGATTTGAAGATGGTACCGAATACTATCGTATCAAGAACTCCTGGGGACCAGACTGGGGAGACCAAGGATTCTTCAAGATCAGAGCTAGAACTAACGAATGCGCTATTGGTGTCTGCAACTCTTACCCAGAGAACGTTCATTTGATCTCAAGAAACCCAATGTACTCAGTGAAAGATTACTTAGCTTCTGCATAATTTCCGTCTCGAAAAGAAATCTTTCGCCTAAATTATCTTGACTTTCTCTACTCCTAACTTAGCTATTTACTTTATCTTTCAGGGTGCTTCTAGGGGTTATTAAAATGGATAATTTTAGTAGAGCTTTCGGCTTCCTAAATATCCCAGAAATTCTACCAAGTAGACAAATCATGATAGATATGAATAGGTTCAAAGCCATTGTTATAATAAATAATAGGTCGAGTGGTAAGGGGTTTTGGGGTTTTGGGGTTTTGGGGTTTTGGGGTTTTGGGG